GATTAATCAGGGGTATAAACGCCAAAAAAAAAAAAAAAAAAAAAAAAACTCGATGAACAGTTCCGCGTAGCTGCTAACGAGGTCAGCAGAGGCACCTTCGTAGAACTGTTCATCGAGGTTTTTTTCGTTAATATTCCTGATTTAATTACGATTTTGACATTCCGCAGAGCTACATTGGATTCCGCGGAGCCCTCATAGCTCACCTCCGCGGAATCCATGTCTATACCCGAAAATCCAATTTTTTTTGTCTATTTTTTTGGAATTCAACCCCGAAAAATGTCTATAGCTGTTATTTTCCCCGATTTCAAACCCCTCTACTAATCTCGAACTCGAACTCCTTGGTAGGAGAGCCACAGACCACCACTACAAAGACATCCTTTTATCTAATTCCTCTATTTGTCCCCGAAAGCCATTTGCTCAATCACCGAGTGAAAGAAACCCCAATCCAATTGATGGCGTCAAAAGCTTTGACAAAGTCAACTTTGTAAACCATGGATTCAAATAAAATAAATATATTCAAATATCAGATAATCACTTTCGATATACACATCCAAAACACCCTTGTATATCACTTAAAAGTAACACCTGAATTATAGACCTTGACATAAATTCACGCCACTACAAATAGTAAAGTTTATTCTTGAATCTTGATGATCAAAGATGTTACAAAATGTCGAATTGGAATATTAAATTTTGCTTTATAAGCTAACAGTCGCTAACATGCAACAATCTAGAAGCTTTCTACAAACTCACCTTCGTGCTATTGGCGTCTCCATTTTCGTGCTCAATGATCTCATTTAAAGCAGTTCTCGACTCTTCAATAGGTTCACTTTCCTTTTTCAGCTCTGTTTCAAACTCTTTTGCTGCCTGCAAATGTCGAGATAAATAATTAAAAAATAATTTAAGAAGCTCACGTCACATTTGGGGAAATTGATTGAAAAAATTAATGTCAGCAAACTAGATCTACTTTATCGTTAAGTTTTGATGTATGATTTTGGATCGAGCTTCTTTATCACTAAATGTTGGCGTATATGAGCTCAAATCAGGCTTCTTAAACCCAATTTTTTTTTTTTTTAAACCGACAGATAATTTACATCTGAAGATAGGAAGGTGAACATGAAGTCATATTGCAGTCATATTGATTGAAATATTTATTTATGCGTTCTGAGGGAGCCCATCGAATCAAATAGAATGAACATGAAGCTTATCTTAACCAAACTAAGAATTAAAAAGTGAAATCAAACCTGTTGGAAGCTCTTGAAGGTTTTTCCGATGCTACGACCAACCTCCGGCAGCTTCTTAGGGCCGAAAACAAGGGTGGCGACGCCAGCGATAACTACCAGCTCCGGCATACCAAGTCCGAACATACAAGTACAAGAGAAACCGCTTTTTTTGGTGTTGGCCGGAATGGATCTGTGTCGTTGGACGAGATTCAAGGGTTTGAATGTCGTGGTGAGGAAGGATGAATTCGAAGACGAAAATAGAGAGGTTGATGGTGTACGTTGTGGAGTTGTTGGCGTGTAGAGTGATATTAAACTTGAAGCAGTGGATGAAATCGCCATTTTCGGAGAAAATTGGTGGTAGTTGGATCAAATTTTACAGGAAACTGGGAAATTTTAAGTCTGCTGAAACAATGAGGGAAAAGGAGGTAGGTAGATGATGAGCTTCTTCATATTAGAATATTAAATTAAATTCGCCACCATTTAATGTAAGAAAGATAAAAATATTATCCCAGACTATTTTTATTGAAACAATCGTTTTAAATATGTTTTTCGTTTTATCTGTTTAAGTCTCTATATAAATAACATATATAGTAAGTTACATGAATAGTCCCTTCGGCTTGGGATAATTTACATACTTGTCCCTAATTTTTTTATTTAAATCCGGACTATCTTTACAGTATTGTTTTGTTTCGATTTTGGTCATAGATGTAAAAAGACTTAATTATCTTTAACAAATTTTATCATTAAAACAAGGACACTGTATCACATGTATCCATCCACCTACCTTATCTTTTTTTTTTTTTTTGAGAAATAAAAATTAAACATATAATTACATAACTTCATTTGGGTATGAAAACAAAAGTAATGATTTTTTTAACGTTACAAGAAAATATAAACCAAAATAAGGCATTAACAATTGTTTCCTTCCTATCATTTCAAAAACTAATCTCTATACATCATTTGAGATTCTTGATTGAAAAATCTACTACACTCTCTCATAAACATCCTCAACAAAATCTTCATTTTGTCATAAAACCGTTAATGAAACAGCAGCCGAACGAAGCTTCACGCCCTCATCCACCCATTTTGACTGAGGTGCAGTTGCTGCAGCAATAATTGTCTGCAAGAAATAGCAACATACTTTCATTGATATAATTGGGAAGATTTTTCCTAATAGAAAATTTGAAAGTACAATGCTATTAACTGGGTATGTTTTTCAAAGTACAGTGCCTTAATAGACAAATGAAAGTTCCTTAAGTGGAATGCTATAAGAAACAAGTAAATAAAAGTTAGTTGCTATTTCTTGCATTCAGCACAAAA